TTGGCCACAATGGATAGGCACATGGTAAGCAAGGTGAGCAAGGTGACCAAGAGGGCTACGGCAGGACCTGAGGATAAACAGGCAGAGGATAAACACACTCTACTAGGAACGTAGTCAGCTTTAAGAGTCACAGGCATTCTTGACAACCCCTTTGTGTGGAAGTCTTTGAAGCCAGAGAAGATGCTCTCCCAGGATCAGGCAGCTGGGCTTCTGGGGGCCACTCCCAGAAGGTATTCTGAGAGTCACCCTGGGGCTGGGAGGATGCAGATAACAGGTACCTGGAGGTCTCATTACGTGTGAGGCTCATTTACTCAATTCCAGCCTCGTGCCTGGGGAGGCTGGGGAAAGTTTTTGCTTCAAATTGAAACAGTATTCGAGGAAGCTGGTTTATTTAGTTGAGTTTTGTTTGAATAAACACATTGTGAGTCTGTATTTGTGCATGTGGTTTATTTTTTTGGTTTTTATTTTTTTACAGATGTGCCTAAGAAATCCATATTGACAAATCTAGGTAGCTCAAGCTTCGAGCCATTCCACCCTAGATTTCAGGAAGTTTAGGGCCTTTTGCTTAGAGGCAGGAACTCTAGCTAGTGTAAGAATCTAGTTTTCTTTTTGGAATAAAAGTATTTCAATATAGTCATCATTCTGAAGAAGGCAGTTCATGCTGCCTGTTTTGGCCCGGTGGCATTCAGGATTGGAAGTACACCATCTTTCGATCCAAAGATTATCTCTTGGAGGTTAGGAAACAGAAATTAGCTTTTAAACACTGTTCTCTTTACCCAGAATTTTCTTCCCTTTGTTTGGTAAGCTTCTAATTGTCTGTCAAGGCCCAACCCCAAATTTACTTCTCACTGAATACTTGCCATGAGTTGTTTATTACTTCTTTAACAATTTCTTAGTCTCCCATGTGATATTTATCTGTGCCCATTCATTCTTTAATTACTTAGCATATGTCAGCCCCTGTGCTAGTTGCTGGAAATACAGAAATGGGTGAGGCGCTGCACCAGCTCTTGAGGAGCTCACGGTTTAGTTGCAGGTGATGAATCATTATAACATGAAATATAACTGTAAGTGAGACAGGAAGGAGACAGTCCTTTATTAGACTCAGGTTGATTATGGAAAATTACATTGCGCAGGTAAAGTGAGAACCGATTACAAGAGAGTATTTGAATGTATCACTTGTAAGAGTCTCTCAAGCGATTCTCACTTCTCTCTCCTATTCTTGGACTTTAAAGTTCCTTAGCAACTAGCCTCTTAAGGAAATGATTCTTTTTAAAAAAAAAAAAAAAGACTAACAATTGTATGTCCTCTTCCGGTCTTTCTGGTGATTTTGCTTCCTTGTTGAAAAAAAAAAAAAACCACATACTCTGCACTGGGAGTTGGTATATTGACCTGAGAGTGGTGTGAAGTTGGCAAAAAAAAAAAAAGGAAGAAAAACCAGCTAGGCTGCTGATGTAACACAGATAATTGAGATTGATCTAGAAGGGTGGCAATTGGCCCAGAGGGGAGGGACAGATGTGAGAGCCATTTGAGGCAAATCAATAGGGCTTGTAACTGAATCTATGTGTGGATCAAAGGAAAGGAAAGAGCCAATAATTTCATAAACTGCTTTCATCAGGTTCATTCATGCCAACTCTCTGATTATTCATAAATATACATAGCTTCTTCTTGTAACAGATGAATCAAAGAGAATGATCTCCATATTAACAGTACATGATTAGATATCATTGGTGGCTATGAGATCTTAACAGGAAAGGAGTGGAATTGGGCAGAAGAGCTCAAGGCTTCACGAGGCTATTGCCTTGGGACAAATTAGGAAGATCGTGGAAATGGGGAACTGGGTTGATGATATAAAAATGTGGTATCTGGCGAAAAGGACAGGTATTCTACTTCAGTAGCAACTAATATTTATTGAACACTTTCACAGATTTTTGTCTCACAGAAACCTCCAAATAACCCTCTGAAGTCAGTAGCAGTATCCCATTCTACAGATTAGAGATGTGCAGAAATTACAGTCTGCCACCAATAGCAAATATATTGGGAATTTATGCTAGAAAAAAAATCAACGCTTGTGGAGTGACTATAGAAACAAAGCTGGCAAAACAGCCAAGAGAGTCTGCTGTAAAATCCTCTAGTTCAGCAGACGGCTTTATTTGGGGAGCAGATTCCAGTAGTTCTTTATAGTTTGTTTATGGCATTCAATTCGGTTTAGGATCCTGGGTCTAGACCTCTTAAGAAGGCTTTGGAATTGTCAATGAGAGTCTTTCAGAGCCCTGAAAAGTGCTCACAACAGGTTTAAGGGAGGTTTCTGAAGTTATGTCTACTCCTACACTGTCTTCCACTCTATTTCTGTCACCTAGAGCTGGCGTGTCCTAACCGTCTGTGTATGAAAACTCCTCTCTATGTTCAAATATTTCATGGATCTCCAAATTGATACTATTTGGATAAATATAGTGGTTGTACTACCTATTGATAAGAAAAGTAAGTTCTGAAAAGGAGAGCTATGTATTAGTAATTAGTGGTTTCAAATGAATTTTGATACTTTTTAAAATACTTGCAGTATTTATTTAGACTATGTGTGAGACTTGATGTCCACAGGAACCCTGGGACTTCTCGCAGGGACTCTGAGGCAACTAGGAGAGAAGAGGAAATGATGTTATGAGATGTATTTGGCAGGTCAGTAAGGAGGGCATAAATAAAGGCAATCTGGAGGAGAAATGCAGACAGCTACTTAGTGGTTTATTAACCACGAAAAGGACACTCAGAGTGAAGTCTGAGTGATTGCCCCATAGATATAGATACCACCTTGCTTAGGTCTGTTTCACATAAGCAGAGCCTGAAATAAGGTCCTGGGTATATCCAGGAAGTAATACTTGGAAGTCCCTGGGAGAATAGTTTCCTTTCACTGGAACATAGGATCAGGGACTATAGGAGAATCCCATTTGCAAAGTCAAGACCTCCTGGGTAAAAGGGAATTCTATTGACAAAGAACAAATAAGAACCCTGTTGTTAAGCTAGGACTCTGTGTCATAGCAAGGGTGACTTAATGTTGACCCGAGAGTGACCTAGGGAGCAATGTGTGTGGAGAGTGATGGTGGAGAAGGCACTGACAGCTTCCTATGTGCCAGGGAATGGTATGTCCATGACATTATTGACGTCTCACAGTAACCCTGGGGGTTGATATTGTCAGCTTCACTGTGCAGGTAGGAAACAACAACCAGGGAGGTTAAACATCATAACAGGGCACATGCTTGTAATAGTGGATCTATGATTGGGAATGCATGTCTCTCTATTCAAAGCTGGCACTCTGTCTACAATATCATACTGTTTTAGTATCTCCTACTCAAGGTGATTGGTTCTTGGAGGGGAGGGGTCAGGGTAAATAATAACTATGGGAAAGAGTTCAGAAGTTGGTAATCTGAGGGGTCCTAAGACCTGTCATTCTTTAGTAGTTGTTGGCCTAGACTTCCTTTCCTGTTTTCCTCTTTAGGTTTGGGCTGAGTAAAAAAGTGATGCACCAAGGTATTTTAGGAATAAAGTGTGTTACAATGCACTATTTCTGAACTTCCAGCTGATTCCAAAGTCCAAAGACATCGCAAATAGGATCTGAGATATGTATAAATCCACAATTTGGGATGAGGTGGGGGCTTCTCCTTTTCCTATGAGTATGGAGTAGTATAATTTAGTTATTATGGAGAAGAAAGCTGGTTAAAATGAACATCATGAGCTTACAATGCAACTACAGACTTCGGGTCTGGGTTGCATGTGTTTAAGTCCTGCTTCTGCCTTGAGGAATTAGCTTATTTCAGGTCTCAGTTTCCTCATCCATAAAATGAGAATAATAAAATATCTATCTCATAGATTTATAATGAAGATTAAATGAATAACATACTTAAAATAATGGCTACTATCTAGAATACATTCAATAAATGTACTGAAAGGAGATGTCACAATGGGGGAAAACAGCCTGAAAGTATTAAAATAATAAAAACAATGGAGAAGAGCTACCTTCTAATTGTATTTTGTCTGCTCACAGCAGTCTTCCTTTCTTTTTCTTTCCTTCTTCCTTCTTTGTTTTAATAAATATCTAACGTCTACTGTGCACCAAGCGCTGTTCTAAGTGCAACAGATGCAAAAAGAGCACTCACAGTGAAGTCTGAGTAATTGCCCCGTAGACGTAGATGCCACCTTGCTTAGGTCAGGTTCCACAGAAGCAGAGCTGAAATCAGATCCTGGGTGCAGTGATTGACTGAGTGCCCTCAGAGGAAAGGGAGTAAGAGAAGCAGGATGGGGCAAGGGAATCACTGCAAGAACATGGTCTCAGCCTGAAGATAAATTCAGCCTGATCTAATGGGATGAGCTAGAATCGTGCCCTAGGGTTTGTCCCATCTTCAGGCAAGGTGGGGAGCCTTTCATATCCTCTGTATCATTCATGCAGTCAGGCTCAGCTTACATAAACTCCTATGATATGATAGTATATATTCTTCCTATTCTCCCTGCTGGTGTATAATACCTTATGCCAAGAATAACAGGAATATGTCCAACATCATAGTGCAGTGCATGGATATGCTTTATCTTTTTTTTTTTTTTTTTTTTTTTTTTTGAGCTGGAGTTTTGCTCATTACCCAGGCTGGAGTGCAATGGTGCTCCAGCAACCTTGCGGTGATCTCGGCTTACCGCAACCTCCGCCTCCTGGGTTCAGGCAATTCTCCTACCTCAGCCTCCTGAGTAGCTGGGATTACAGGCACGCACCACCATGCCCAGCTAATTTTTTATATTTTTAGTAGAGATGGGGTTTCACCATGTTGACCAAGATGGTCTCAATCTCTTGACCTCGTGATCCACCTGCCTCAGCCTCCCAAAGTGCTGGGATTACAGGAGTGAGCCACCGCGCCCGGCCTGGATATGCTTTCTCTTATTTGACTTTTGTCACGCTTGGTAAACCCATATATCTGGCTTGGCAAATCCATCTATTTCTTTTTTCATTATTTTTTTTCCTTGCTTCAGTCTATTCCTCTCCTTCCTAGATCAGCCACCTGGTGCTCTCACACTATCTCTCATCTTATTGGCCCCTCACTGTGACACCTCACCTAACTCTTTTCCTTTGATTGTTATTGAACTGAGCAGCACCTAAGAGAGAGGCTTTCTGCCCAAAGCTCTGAGCAAGGCATCCTTGACCTCTTGGTTCCTCAGGCTGTATACAACAGGGTTCAGCAGGGGAGTGATAACAGTGTATGTCACAGAGATAAGTCTGTCCTGCAGGGAGTTTTGGGATTTGGGTTTAGGTAGATGAAAGAGGTACAGCCATAGTGGACAATGACCACTGTGAGGTGTGAGGCACACGTGGCAAAGGCCTTTCTTTGGCCCTCAGCTGATGCAATCTTGAGGATGGTGGTGACAATTAGGACATAGGAGATGAAGATCAAGACCATGGGCAGAACAAGGACACAGAGACTGATGAGCAAAGTGACAAACTCCTTGATAGTAGTGTCTGCACAGGCGAGCTTCATTATGGGTCTGATATCGCAAAAGAAGTGAGAGATGAGATTAGCGTCACAGAAGGGAAGGCTGAACACAGAAGACACCTGAATGATAGCGGTGCTCAGGCCAATGCTCCAGGATCCACTGGCCAGTTGTATACAAGCCTTTTTGTCCATGATGAGCGAATACCGTAGGGGGTTGCAGATGGCCACATAGCGGTCATGCCCCATGGCCGTGAGAAGGAAGCAGTTATTTACACCAAAAGTGAGATAGAAGAAGAGCTGAGTGGCACAGTTTTGGATGGAGATGGTTTGCTGAGGGCTGAGGAGACTGGACAGCATTTGGGGGATGATGGCCACAGTATAACAGGTCTCAGAAATAGACAGCACACTCAGGAAGAAGTACATGGGTGTGTGAAGTTGATGGCGAAGGTGGATAGCTGTCAAGACGATAGCGTTGCTGGCAAGGGTCAATAGGTACAAGAGCAAAAAGGCCAAAAACAGGATGAGTCTGTGATGCCAATCAAACATGGAGAAACCTTCCAATGTAAACTCTGTCACAGCTGTGAAATTGGGCTGTGGCATTGAGGAGAATCTGAGTGTGAAAGAGGTGAAGTGGGAAGGTTGAGCATCCACACTGGAAACAGTAGGCTGGTCCAGGATCATCATCAACCATGTGCAGGCACTGAAATGGGGTGTAGCTCTGGGTTTCAGATACTCTCAACATTCAGACACAGGCAAGTGCTGAAAGATCCATCAAGGTTCTCTGGGTGCTGGCACTGGGGGACAGATGTAGTATGTGTATGTTGACAGGAGGTAAGTATGTAAAGGGAGTACAGATGCCCCTGAATGTGTGATGAAGTTACATCCTGATAAACCCATTATATGTTGAAAATATCACTTTAAAAATGCATTTAATATACCTGACTGAACATCATAGCTTACCCTAGCCTACCTTAAACATGCTCAGAACACTTGTGTTAGCTTACAGCTGGACAAATCACCTAACACAAAGTCAATTTTATAATGAAGTGTTGAATATCACATGTAATTTTTGAATATTGTACTGAAAGTAAAAAATCAAATGGTTGTATAGGTACTTGAGGTATAATTTCTTCTGTATGCATATCACTCTCACACTATCATAAAGTCAGAGACTGTATGTGTTGGAAACCTCTAACTGGCTTGACTAGAAGTCGCTGTAGACCAGAGAAAGCACTGAATATGTGTGCCCAGCATTGAAACTATTCAGACTTGCCTGGGTTTAAGTCAGCAATGGCACATTGCTTGTCAAAGACGAATGCAAAAGGATGTACCTAAAGAGTGAATGAGTTCAGGCCAAGGACAGATCGCTGGGTGAGACACACTCCTGGGAAGTCAAGAGAGGACCATTCTCCTGTGTCCCAGGACACTGGAGTCCCTCTCTCCAAATCCTGCTCCAACTCTGTTCAGAAGGGCTTCCATTTGTTAAGTCGAGGTAGAAAGCACTGCCTTCTCTCAAGGTTCAAATTCACAGTGGCCAGTGTCTAGAATAAGGAAGTGAGAGGAGACACTCCTTTTCTGCCATGTGGGTAGTCCAGCTGCTGACCTAGAACAGTCTGTGGTATGCAGCCACCTCTCCTTTCAGTCCTGGATTTTCCTATAGCCCCAAGTGTCAGATGTTTAATACCCGAGTATCCTTGTTCCATGTGGAGGGTAGTTTCTGCTTCTATTTTCTAGTCTCTAAACACAATAAAGGTTCAGACAGTTTTTTTATAGATTTGAAATACTAGTAACTATAAGACAACAGCAATAAAAACAACACAATATTTAAGTTTATGGTAATCTCTGGCTTTAACCCCACTATAAATGAAGGCATGCCTGATTTTCTTTGCTTGTTTCATTTGTCTCCATTTGCTCATCTATAAAATAGAATAATAATATCTACTTCATAGTGTTGCTATGGAGATCACATGAATTACTGTATGTAAATTGCCAAGTGCAGTTCCTAATACATAACAGGCAAACACTACATTAAATTTCTACTTTCCTCCCTTCATCTGTCCTTCCCATCCCCACTTCCCATAACTCTGGGTTCTACTTGTATGCTTGGCCACTCAAGCATGTACACACACACACACACACACACACACATGTATGCACACACACCCACCTACACACACACACCTACATTTGCTTGCTCTCTTTATTGTTTTCATCTTCATGGATGGTTGTTTTCATTCATTTCTTCAATCCCTATTGTAAAGTCCAGTCTTTATTTCTATACCACTTCCCTTCCAACTCTAGATTTTGAAATGTACGGGCATTGGGGGCAGGGTAGTCTAGAGTTAAATACCTCTGTGATCAAACCGCAGCCCCACTTAGTAATATATGACCTTGGAAACATTTCTCACCTCTTTAGGCATCAATTTCTTCCCTCGTAAAATGAAGACTGCTAATATCTATCTCAGAGACTGCTATGAAGAGCTGAGTGGCACAGTCTGGAGGAATTGGTTTGTTGAGGGCTGAGGAGAATGGACAGCATTTCAATGAGAATATCCTGGATAAGGCATTTAGCCTTTGGAAGCTCTGCCTGTGATTCTTTAAGGCTGTTACCCAGATTATCCTTTCTGGGTGATTTTTTTTTCAGTATTTATGCTTTTTGTTCCTAAGTTTTGTGACACAGCTGTATATTCACTTTTTCTACTTGATAATAATCTCAGGAGATAAAAGAGAGAGATGAGGGTCATGAGGTTATGAAATGAGAGTCATGAGGTCACATTTAGTTACATAACAAGAATTCCTGCGTCATCAAGTCCAGAAATGTGACTTACATATCACTGGGCAGGGCAGAGGCTTATTCAGGATCCAGGAGAGTGAGGCTTGAAACCAGAATTTCCAGGACTCCCATTGTACTGTGGCAGACACAGCACACAGAATTTTTTGAAGGGGAGGACTAGAAGTAAAACAGAACCCACCAGGATCTTTTAGTTAATTTATCTCCCTGATCAGTCAGATCTGGGAGTAACAGACATAGAAAGCAGCACCAGGATCTCCTATGCCTCCCCATTACCCTGTCCCTTTAAGTCTGGATTGCTGGCTGCCTGAGAGGACCATTCTCCTGTGCCCCAGGACTCTGGGGTCCCTCTCCCCAAAACCCCAGTGACTGTCATAATAGCATAATCCAAACACCCCAATGTCTGGGGATCTCATTATAAAAGTGCCTCATCAACAATCACACAGATCTACTTAATCTTGGTTTTCCCACACAGACAAGTCTTTGCATCAGCATATGGTCCTGCACTGCTCTGTGGTTGAAGAGGACCTCATGTCTCATGATCACATTATAGGGAGGGCCTCAGAACCCATCATGTTTAAGGGATGCAGCTTTGTGAGACAAATCACTCACACTCCAGGGTCTCTCTGTTCTAACTGCTGGAGGATCTACCTCTGAGGTCTCTTAAATTTGAATGTTGTGGGAACTGCGACTAATTCATTTACTGATTTCTTCAACAAATACTTATAGAATGTTTCTTGCATGCTAAGTACATGGTATACAGCAGAAACTGGGAAACTTACACCTGTAGTGTAAGCTGGTTTTGCCTGCTTTGCAGTACCTGGCCATCCCTGTGTATTACCCACGAGAAGCTGAGCACCTTCTCCTTGAGGAAGATCAGAAGGAAGACCTTTACTGAAGTAATTTCTCTAGCCCCCTCTTTCTCTCTCCCAGCACTTAGTCAATCAGCCAACCTATCCTTCCTTTCCTTTTAGAAGGTACGCATAAGATGGACCTTTCTGAAGATTGGAAGAGAATTGGAAATCAGATCCCCTAGGATATCCTAAGACTTGGGCTCTTCAGTAATTCCTAGTCCTTGTGCCCAGTTTGTACCTTTCTCTTAGAGATTCAAAAAATGGAAAGGATTTCCTTTCTGAGTACCAGCATACTGAGCAATAAATATTTGAAAGCAGGACAATTTATTGTAGTGTCTTTGACAAGCCAAGTAAGCTGGGAAAGATTGACAAGCCTGAAAGAGTTGCCAGGCCTTCAGTTCAATTCCACATAATCTCTGTTAAGGCCCTCAAACATTTACCCAACAGAAACTGGTAATACTTGAGCTCAACGGCTATTAAGATCCAAAGTCCCACAGCCAAGAGATGAATTTATAGTATATTTATCATTGCTCGAGAATGGCCAATGCATAACTTCGTTAGGACTCTTTGAAATCCTTTAGGGACCAGCTGAAGGAAGGCTTAAAGTTGGGCAGCAAGTCTTATCAAGACCTTGAAATAATCAATCTTGGGCCTTTTTTTGTCAATGTCTCTTCTTTATAGTTCTCCTGGTACCTATTTAAATATGTAGCTCTTTGAAATTAGAAGTAAAATGGAATTGAAACCTATGAGAAAGAAAACGCAGCCCCAATACTGAAATTATAAACAGGAAAGTTACTGATGTTTAAAAATATAAGTTTTGTTGTGAGTTTATCTGAAAAAGATGGGTTCTGGGGAAAAAGGCTAAGAAAATCTAGGGTGAATGTAGGTTTTGTTCTGGAAAAGGAGAAAAATATATATCATCTGCACATTTTGACAGTTTTGTCTTTTCTGATTTTTAGCTCTCTTATTTATTTCTCTTTACATTGCATTTGGTTATGAAACATAATATTCAATACTAACAGTTATAGAGGCATTTTTGTCTTATTTCAGATTTAAATTTAAATGTTTTTCATGTTTCATTCATTATTAAACATGATGCTTGCTATAGATCTCTGACAGATATAAGGAAGTTCCCTTCTATTCCTCGTTTGTTTGCAAGTTTATCATAAATGGTCTGTTAAATTTTCAGCTAGTCCCTTGTCTGTATTCATTGATATAGTCATATGCTTTTTATTCTTTAAGTTGTTGGGTAAATTACATTAATGGAGTTTTAAAATATTGGCTTATTCTTACGTTTTTAAGGAAATCCCTACTCAATCTCTCTCTATACTGCTGAATTCAGTTTACTATTTTTTCTTCTATCCATTATTGGCTGATAATTATCTTTTTCTACTTGGCTATATTTGGCACCAAAGATTTACAATAAGCAGCCTCTTTAAATGCTGGCTAAATCTCACACCTTTCTATCCCCTGAGCATGATGGTTTTTGTGTCTTTGTTTTTGGAAAGAGTAGGTTTTTCACTACTAGAATTTCCTTTTTTATGGGGTTTTTATTCTTTTACATCTCTATTTCTTGTCTAACTACAGTAATATACCTTTTTTCACCAAATTTATCCATTTTATATATCTTTTTATAATGAGCTAGTATCAAGTTGTTCAGAATATGCTTTTGTAAGTCTTTTCTTCCTCTGTACCTGTCCTTGTATCCACCTGATACTGCTTCTTATGTCTTTTTGATTTTTGTTGATCATGGTTGTTAAGGGTTTTGTTTCTAACTAATTTCTTCAATGATAGAATCTTTAAAAAAAATAAAATTTCTATTGTTTTAGTTTGCTTTAGTTTTGCATTTCAATTCATCATAATTATTGGTTTCTACTTTCTCTAGATTTGCTACTCTTTTTCAAGAGTAATTTTGAATAAAATAATCATTTATTATTTCCAGTAAATATATAAAG